AGGAAAAGGTGCAGTTGTGGGTCCTGGGCGCAAAGAAGGATGACAGGATCTACCTCGGCCCGCGTTTGGTTCAGGCAATGGACGAGGATTCGCAGCAGTGGTTTGAGGCAAAGAAGGTTTCGCTCGACGACCTCGTCAAGGAGGACGGAGCGGAAAAGGTCGTGGAGGCGCTCAAAGGAGTTAGAGGCACGGTCACGATGCAGGAAGCTGTGTCAAAGTGGCGAGAGTTCATGCGTGGAGTGTATCGGCATCCGGGTGAAGGTCCAAAGAGATGGGTTTCTCGCTTTGACATCCACTTGAGCAAGATCGGTAAAGCCCTCCACGCAGTCTGTGACGAGATTCCGGCCCAAGGTTTCATGCACGAGTTCATCCTAGGGTTGATCCTGCTGGACGGGACGGGCTTGGACCCGTCAGAGCAGGCCGCGGTGCTGGCGACAAGCGGCCCCAAGGGCAACTCATACCTCTACCAGGACGTGAAGAAGGCGCTAGCTGAGCAGTGGTCGGAGGAGCAGCTGGCATCGCGGGACAAGCAGAAGGGATACAAGGCCAGGAAGGGCGCTCACGCGGTCTTCGACGACGCCGACGAGCTCGCCGCCTACGCCGAGGAGGTCTACGACGAGGCGTACATCGACGGGTTCGAGGAGGCGGCAGACATCACGGAGTCAGCGATGACGGCAGCCGAAGACCTGATGACCGCCGCGCTCGGTGAAGAGCCTAGAGGAGACGAGGTGCAAGGAGAGGATGCGCTGGCAGCGGCGGCCTCGACTCACGAGACGGACGAGTGGACGGAGACGGCCTTCGCGGCTTCGAGGACGTTCGTGGAAGCGAGGAAACTGATCAACGAGGTCAAGAACGCCAGAGGCTACTTTCCGGTGGTAGGTCTGGGCGCCTACGACGCGCTCCCGACTCAACCCGCCGCTGGAGCTGGACGCGGACGTGCAGTGAGTCGGGGCGGACCGCCTCGCAAGGGCAAGGGCAAGGATCGAGGCGGCGTGGCAGGCCGCGGCAAGGGTCGTGGTCAGAGTCAGAAGCGCCCAGCAGCACCTCCGAAGGACTCGAACTCAGGGATCAACGAGAAGTTCAAGGGGGCTTGCCTGCTATGCGGCGAGCCAGGCCACAAGGCAAGGGACTGCCCCAATCGGGGCAACGGCGGCGCCCAAGGGGAGAGGCGCCGGGCTTTCAACAGCTTCGTCGGCGCGGCCGACGGCTACAGCAAGAAGGTCGAGTCCGAGGACGTCCAGGACGTGTTCGTCGGCACGGTCAACGACGAGGGCGAGTCCAAGGACTGCGACGAGGAGGAGCTGGACGAGTTCGTGGCCTTCAGCATGGACGACTGCAAGGGCTACGCGCTCCTGGACGGTGGAGCGTCCAGATCAGTCGGAGGCGTGGAGCAGCTGGAGTACGTGAACGAGCGCCTGAGTGAGCCCATGGAGGTCAGCCCGGACAAGAGTCTGGGATTCTCATTTGCTGGAGGCGACCGGGCAGACGCACCCTCACGGGTGACCTTTAACGTGAAGGTCCTGAACGATGAGGCTGTGAGCATCTACGTGCTGGATCGTAAGTCTCCGGTGCTGCTTGGAATCGATATGCTGAAGAAGTACGGGCTCGTGATCGATTACTTCCACAACACCGTGTACTCTCATCGGTTCAAGCGTGAGAACCCTACTAGAGTGCTCCCGTCAGGTCACTTGGCACTGAACCTTACTGCTCTGGGCAACGAGGCCTCGGGCGCAAGCAGCGAATAGGGACAGCACCCTGGTCGCGGCAAAGGGACTGTGGAAAAGTCGTCGTCCAAGTCTGTCGCCACCAGGGGCCCCCAAGACGCCAATGAGCTCCCCCAGATGCTCCAGAAGTTGCTCGAGGTCAGTGTCTCCATCATGGGCCCCTACCCCGAGCTAAGCCAGTCTATGCTACAACCTATTCTTTGGCATCTCTGGGAACGGGCTGACTGGAAAGAAGGTGCGAGAGTTAGTCGGGATATATGGGTCGACTGCTCACACGCTCTAGTTCGGGTTCATCGTCGGGTTCGTTTTCAAAGATGTGATCTTCGAGATTTTGAAGCTCTTAGTTTAGCCAGCTTATCGGGGAAACGTCACACTCATATGATTCGAGAAGACGGGGAACACATGATGATCATCGAGAGACTATCGAATAAAACAGCTCGACAAGTCGAACATTCGAGATGGGTCGGTCTTACTATCTACCCACGATCCTTGTGTTCAAGAACCGTTTCGGCTCAAGAAGTTCAACGAAGCAGGTCTCAGTTCGAGAGCGCGTTCCAGGCTGATGTCGAAATGCGCCCATCGGGACCAGACACGTCAGGGGTCCAACCATGTCGTGGACCTGATCAAGTGCAGGAACTGCGGGGAGCTCCTGTTCAAGTGCCACTTCGCGAAGACGAGCGACCAGATGCTCCTCCAGTGTGTTCGCTCCCGGCAGTATATCAACCGCCTGGAGACCACGGGTACGGCCCAGCCCGTGGCGCCCATGATGAACCAGTCGAGCTCCTCGGACAGCGAGGCCACGATGACGACAACGGCGCCAACGTCAATGCCTCCACCGAGCCCTCCAGGGGCCACCAAGAAGTTGCCCGAGCGCCTGTCGGCCGAGGTCATTCGGAAGCTCACGGACACGGAGGTGCAGCAGATCATCGAGAGCGAGAGGATCAAGATCCGCCAGGAGGAGCAGCAGCGCCTCGCGAAGGAGATCCTCCAGAAGGGCCTCATCGACACGCCGACGGACCCGACGGAGGTGGACGACAGGGCCAGGCCGAGCAAGAGGCTGGGCGTCAGCCAGATGCCCAAGGCCGAGTCGATTCCCGTGCCGGAGGATCTGCCGACGCCGTCGGGACTGCCGAGGCCAGCCGGAGACTTTCATCTCGTGTGAAGAGCTGTGTACTCGGAGCGCTGATCGCGGCGACGGCGGCTCTGGGAGAGATGCCGGGCACCGCCTGGGAGGCAGCCGAGACCTATGGCAAGCTGGACCTCGCAGAAGTGGCCTGTGTGTCCGACTCCAGGCTCACGCACGCGATGATCGAGCAAGGAGGCAAGGCCGAGAGATTCAGCAACTGGAACGGGTATGACTTCTCCACCAGGTCTGGTGCAGAGAAGCTCGTGAAGGCTTTGCGGGTCAAGAGGCCTCGAAGAGTTTGGTTTTCCCCACCGTGCGGAGCAGAGTGCCCATGGCAGAATCTGAACCCCGTAACGGCGGAGTCGGAGAAGAAGCTGATCAAGACCAGACGTATCCAGAGGAACGTCAAATGGGCTATCGGTCAGCTGCTGAACGAGGGTTTCTGTGACATATACCTCGAGCAGTCGGGGCGCTGCAGGTCTTGGACAGGCAACTTCAAGGAGCTCAAGGAGTCCATGCATGGCTGCAGGATTCACGGGTGCATGTACGATATGAGAGACGAGCAGAGCGGTCTCCTCATGCGCAAGGACTGGCACATCGCGACCACTGACCCGCAGTTTGAGAAGAAGGTCGGGAGGACCTGCCCTGACTTGCATCTGCATATGCCGCTGGAAGGCGGCACGAGAGAGGCACTGTCAGCGAATTGTCCCGTGAACCTGTGCCAGAGGATCGCCCAGCACTTCATGACCAGGGCCACCTCGGACGAGGCCCTCGCCTATCTGGTGCAGGCCCACAACGAGTTGGACGACGAGCTGTGCGCAGCGGGCTACAGGCGCTTGCGGGAGAAGCGGCCCGCCTCGGAAGGGCCACCACCGCCGCCGCCGAAGCGCCCAACGCTGGAGCCCACAGCTCCCGAGAGTCAAGGAGGAAGCGCAGGCGGTCAAGTACCAGCTCCTGATCCTGACGAAACCGGAGATGCTCAAGTCCCTCCAGAAGGCGAGGCGCCCCCGCCGACGCCCGAGTCGGGAGGTCAAGAGCAGTCGGTGGGCAATCTCAGACTGCCACTGCCAAGGAGTGTCCAGAACTGTACCAAGGCAGAGTTGCGCGAGCTGGGGGCCATCATCGCACACATCCATCGGAATTTTGGACACTGCAGTATGAGCACGGTCAGCGCCGCCCTCAAGTCTCGCAAGGCGGACCAGAAGCTCATCGACCTTTGCAGCCACTACGAGTGTCCGGCGTGTAAGGCAGCTCAAAGGTTTCAGATGCGACCTATTGCCAGCTCAGAACCAACATTACCCGCTCCTGGTACCGAGATGGGTTGCGACAATTTCTATTGGACACATCCTCGACGAGCCTACCAAGTTCGTGGGACCCTCTGTGCAGACTATGGCAGCCGCTTTACCCAGACGTCGATTCACTGTCAGAAGGGGGTCGAGGAGCATTGTGGCAACACCACCGCGAAGGAGATGAAGGAGGTAGTGCTGAAGGACTGGATCCACCACTACGGCAAGCCGGAGGTTTTCAGGACAGATCCCGAGGGTTGCTTCAAGCAGGTCGAGCAGCGCGCCTGGGTCTCGGGTAACGGCATGGAGTGGAGACCGGAACCCGGAGAAGCTCACTGGCGAATGGGAGTGATCGAAAGGTGCATCGAGACCGTCAAGGAAATCGCCACTCGCCTCGCCTGGGAGCTACCAGACGACACAGATCCCGCGGACATCTTTCGCTGGGCTTGCGTGGCCAACAACGACCTCATGCGACGCCAAGGCTACAGCCCGATGATGCTCATGATGGGTCGTACCCCGTCGGGGCAGGGCCTGGAGCAAGTGGAGAATCCCTCGGTCCTGAGCGCAAATGTGGTGGACAAACACTTCCAGGAGGTCACGCGCATCAAGGCGGCTGCTTACAAAGCGTGCGTGGACCACTACCTGTCGGAGAAGACGAAGCGTGCTCTGCTGGCCAAGACGAGGCCGTTCAAGACATGGGAGCCTGGTGAGAAGGCACACTACTGGCGAGGTGCGAAGGGTAACAGTCACAAGACTCGACCAGGTATCGCTGGTCGATTTCACGGTCCCGCCACTGTCTTGATGCAGGAGCGCGAGATGAAGAATGGAGTTGCGGTGCGTCGAGGAGTTGTCTGGCTTGTTGACGGTGACCGTCTCGTACGAGCAGCGGCCGCTCACCTCCGCACGACTACGAAAGCAGAGCGGACCCTGGAGAGCATCTCCGCAGGGAGCTCCGACCACTTCAAGAAGATTCTTCAGGAGTTGACGAAGGGTGCTTACGACGATGTGGTGGATCAGCCTGGTCCGGGAGAATGGGGCGATATTCCAGAAGGAGAGAACGTTGAAGTACCAGACCCACCCAGGATGCCAACTCCAAGAAGTATGGCATTTCATCAACCTGATGATCACGAAGGTGAAGCGGGGTCGGGCTCGAGTGGCCACGAAGGGGCCGCGCCTGAGGCCTCACCACCTCCTATGCCCGCGCAGAATCCAGCTGAACCAGCACCGACGCCGACCAGAGACCAGATCGACGAGAGCGAGCCACCACCAGAAGGTTACAACAAGCGGGAAGCCAGTAAGGAACCTTCTGAGGATCCAGATCCCAAGAGACATCGCGCCGACTTTGCAGGGTACTTGGGCCATCTGTGCCAGAAGGCGCCGACGCTTGTCATGCCCGAGCTCGGTCGTGCCGAGCCCGAATCCGAGGGCAGTGCGAATTGGGTCTCACCCTGGGAGTATGACCAGAATACGAAGGCTTCCGACCTGGTGGGCTTCGTGGGCGAGGACGAGCCGAACCTCGCGATCATGATCGGCTTCGCGCTGGAGGAGTCGGATGTGGATCAACTCAGCTGGAGGCCTGACAAGGCCCTCGCCGCGATGGTCAAGCAGAACAAGGTCGAGGTGAAGCTCAAGAACCTTACGGCAGAGGACCGTGAGGAGCTCCCGATCGCGAAGGGTAACGAGATCAAGTCTTTCCTCAAGTATCGAGTCTGTGAGGCAGCCAGTCGTGCAGGAGTACACCCTGGAGCCCTGATGAAGATGAGATGGGTCATTACAAGGAAGGAGACTGGCGACCTTAAGGCTCGTTTGGTGGTTCTTGGCTTTGCCGATCCGGGACTTGGGCGAATCAAGACCGCTTCCCCCACATGCAGTCGTCGAGCTCGCCAGGCTTTCCTGGGCGTCTCCGCCTCGATGGGCTTTCAGGTCTTCAAGGGTGACGTCAAGGTAGCTTTCCTACAAGGCGATCTCGGAGAAGAAGATCGAAATGTCCTGGCCGAACCCGTCAAGGAACTTAGGGAAGCCATGCGACTCGAGCATCACCAATGCGTCAAGCTCAAGAAGGCAGTTTATGGTCTGGTGAACGCTCCTCGCAGATGGTGGACGAGAGTTCGCAGGGACATGGCCAAGCTCGGCTGGGTGGAGTCTACGACAGAACCTTGCCTGTGGTGTTTACGAGAACCTGGAGGGCAGCTCATAGGTCTGGCCGAAGCCCACGTGGACGACCTCATGATCGCGATTGACCAGCACTCGGACTTTGCAGTGGACGCCCTCCAGCAGCTCCATCGAGCCTATGAGTGGGGAAGCTGGGAGACTCAAGATTTTGTTCAATGCGGGACACGAGTTCGACAAGAATATGATGGACGCACGAAGTCATGGGGCCGTATCCATCTTAACATGACTGACTACGCCCAGGAGCTCATGGAGATAGATATTCCCGCACATCGACGTCGTGATCCTGAGCAGCCGGTGACATCGTCAGAAGCTACCCGTCTACGAGCCGCCTTCGGTCAGCTCATGTGGTTGGCTACGCAGGGCGTGCCCCTCATCGGGGCAGAGCTGTCACTGCTGCTGGCTTACAGTAATTCCGCAACGGTGAATACTCTCCTGCAGGCCAACAAGCTCATCAGGCGCACCAAGTTCGAGGCGACCAAAGAGCTCATCATGGAGAAGCACGCGAATCCGTGTGTGGTTGGCTATTCGGACGCAGCCTGGAATGTTCGACGTGATGGTTCTTCACAGGGTGGTTTCTTGATCTTTCTGACTGACTATACCTTGATGCAGAACCGAGAAGCGCCGATCTTTCTGCTGGCTTGGGCATCTGCGAAGTTGCCGAGAGTGTGTCGGAGCTCGAGCGCGGCCGAGGTACAAGCCGCCAGTGAAGCTCAAGAGGAGCTGGAGTTTTGTAGGCTGCTGCTGAGCGAGATCCTGCTGGGACCCGCGCCTCTTAAGCAGTGGACTTCAAGCTGTGCGAAGATTCCTGGCGCCCTGGTCCTGGACTGCCGCGGCGTGTTCGATGCTCTGGATCGGTCCGAGAGCAGCGCCCTCGGCATGAAAGACAAGAGGAGCGCGCTGGAGGCCCTGGCCCTCAAGCGCGGCATGGCCGCCACATCCACATCCCTGAGGTGGTGTCACAGCGGTGCGCAGCTGAGCGATTGTATGACCAAGAACTCGGAGAAGGCTCGCGCCACCTACAACCTTTGGCAGCAGCGAGGCACCTGGAAGTTGATATACGACGCTAATTTTATTTCCGAGAAGCAGAGAAGACAACGAGGACTGCAGACACTAGACCAGGCCACATATTTCGCAGTTGATGACGACGATGCCTGGCAGTTGTACCCGGAGGATTTGGAGATCGAGGAGGAGGCAGATATTCCCCAAGACTTTCGGCTCCCGGAAGCGGTGAGCGTGATGAGACATGATGCTACCTCCGTGCAGTAGCCTACGCCACCTAAGGGGAATATTCTGTGTGTACAGCAGTTCTTTCTCACCCCCCCTGAGCGCGAAATAACTTTAATATTTAAAACAGCCGGCCGTACAGATGGTTCGGGGCATGTGAATCTCAGATAGATTTCTAGGGTTCTGTGTGACCGGAGCTCCCGACCCCGTGTCCATCCTGTTCGGGTCCTCGGAGCTCTCGAACCCATGTGCAACCACCCGCACGTGCTCTGTTTTTCTGTCCGTAGCCGTCCGGCTTATAGCCGGGCCAAGAGGCCCCTTTTGGCGATTTTGACTTATCGGTCCGAAGCTCAGGGGGACCACGCGAGATAGAAAACGAGTTTCTCTCATCGTCAACGTTGTGCTCTCACTTTGGACAGTATATCCAAGCTCTACGAGCCCACCGTTTTCTGCTGTATTTCAAGCTCTGCGAGCTCAACATCTCCGCCTACCTACACAACCCTGAGGATCATATCCGAGAGCTTGTGAGGATTTCTCGAAGTGAAAGGCTGAAGATCCGTGGAAGACACGCTCCACTGACAGGAGGAGGGGCGGGGGGTGCGAGGGCCCGCGCCGATCGGCAAAACAAGGCATAAGAATTAGGTCGGGCATGTCCCCCTACAGGCGGATTTTGGACAACACATAGGAATAGTTAGAATATGTGCAAAAGCCTGATCGGACAAGAACGGGAAGCGCCGCTGTAGTCTAATGGGCGTATTGGGCGAAGAAGAAAAGGAAGGCGAGGACAACGAGGAGTCGATGACGAGGACGACGTGGCGAACGTGAGGATAGCGAGGAGGAGCATGAGGACAACGAGGAGGAAGAGAAGCACAAGGACGAGGACGAAGAGAACGAGGGCGAGTACGAGGAGGAATGCGGAGGCCGATGATGACGACGACGACGACGACGACGACGACAGAGGACAGTAAGAGGCAATTGGAGAAAGACGTTGCTCCTGGCGCCACGCGGGGTTGTCTTGGGGCCTGTTGGGGGCTTCTTGGGGGCTCCTTGGGTCCTCTTACGGGCTTCTGGGGTCTTCTTGGGCTGTCTGGGCGCGTCGTGGGGTTCTGTGGGAGCCGTCTTAGGCCGTCTCGGCGCTGGGGGCCTCCTGGGGCGCTCCCGGGAGTCTCTTAGGGCCTTCTTGGCCCTTCTCGGGCCGTCTTGGGGTTCTTGTGAGCTGTCTGGGTGGCTCCTAGAGCGCTCTTGGGGGTCTCTTGCGGTCTGCTTGGGGCGCTCTTGGGCGCTCCTGGGGCTCTCTGGGGCGTCTTTTGGGCCTCCCTTGGGCAGTTGGAAAGCCCTCCAAGAGCGATTCGAACACGACGTCGATGCGGAGTCCCCTCTTGGGCCGATTTTTGGAGGATGTCTCGAGCGAGACGGCCATTTTTCAAAAATCCGCCAGCGCAGTTTCAAAGTGCAGCGCGTATCCGATTACTAATTTTTACCACCAACAAACGGTCCACGCCAGGGGCGCTTCCCGTCATCCGCCGGCCCCCTTGTGGGGCCACCAGGCTGTAGGGCGAAGGTTCGCAGTTTCCTGTGCCAGTTGCAGCTTCCAGTTCTGCTTCTTGCTGCTTACTGTTCCTTGTTAACTTCTTGCTGCTTACTGTTCCTTGTTGATGGGCCGCGCGAGGGGGGAGGCCCAAAAGGGGAATTTTCACCGCGCCCAAAACGTATGCTCTGAATTGCTGGGGTGGGTAAGAATTGACACCCCTCACGCAGATCGGCGGGGTCAGGGTCCAAAAACATATGGGATCTGCCACATTTCTGAAATTCGGCGGCACCCCTCACGCAGATCGGCGGGGTCAGGGTCCAAAAACATAAGGATTTGCTACATTTCTGAAATTATGTGGCACCCCTCACGCAGATCGGCGGGGTCAGGGTCCAAAAACAAAAGGGATTTGCCACATTTCTGAACGTCGGCTGCGCCCCTCACGCAGATCGGCGGGGTCAGGTTCAAAAACAAAAAGGATTTGCCACATTTCTGAAATTCTGTGGCACCCCTCACGCAGATCGGCGGGGTCAGGGTCCAAAACCAAAAAGGATTTGCCACATTTCTGACATCCGGCGGCACCCCTCATGCATTTCGGCGGGGTCAGGGTCCAAAAACACAAAGGATTTGCCACATTTCTGACATCCGGCGGCACCCCTCACGCAGATCGGCGGGGTCAGGGTCCAAAAACACAGGGTATTTGCCACATTTCTGAAATCCGGCGGCACCCTTCATGCAGATCGGCGGGGTCAGGGTCAAAAAAAGCATGGGATTTGCTACATTTCTGACATTCGGTGGCACCAGTCACGCAGCTCGGCGGGGTCAGGGTCCAAAAACACATGGGATCTGCCACATTTCTGAATTTCGGCGGCACCCCTCACGCAGATCGGCAGGGTCACGACGTCTTACCAATCGCCAGGTGTGGTAATCCCTCTGGTCATCTCTTTTGGTTTTGCTCATTACGAGTCGGCCTCGCATAAAGTTCCGATACTGCTTCACGACAGCGCCCAGGCCTCATGACATAGCTCTTGCATAGCGCATTCTCCGAGAGAGGGGGCCGGCGGCAGGGTGCGAAGCCCCTACGGATAATCAAAAATACCACAAACATCGTCCCCATACTGATTTTTGACAGCTTTCGAACATTCCTCCTGTAGAGGGGACAGGCCCGACTTAAGTCTACTTCATGGATGCGATGCGATGCGACAACCGTTGCGGACAGCGTCCCGGCCTAGAGCAGACCAGGTGGGTGAGGCCATGGCCTCTAGGATCTGAGGTGTCTGGATCTTAACTCTACTTCGTGGAGGGGGGGGGGAAGGGGAGGGGAGTGCGAGGGCCCGCGCCGATCGGCAGAACAAGGCATAAGACAACGATCGCGTGCTCGGGTGTTTTCGTCGCCTTCTCGGCGGCGGCCCCGGCCTCGGGCCGGGGCCTCGCCGAGAAGAGCGCCGCGGCGGCGGGCTCGGCGGGGAGGCGCCCCATCCCCCCTGGGGCCCTCCGCGGAGGCACGGCCCTCTTGCGCGCCAGCGGTGCCGCCGCTGCGGCTTGCGGGCGCGTTGAGGCTGAGCCCCCCCCCGCGGCCCCCCCCCCCCCCAAGAGGGCAGAAAATCACCCCCGACGCGCGAAGCCGTTTCGCAAACGCACCCAAGGAAGGAATCGAACGGGGCAGGGCTGCTCAGTAGACGCCCGGAGCCGTTCAGCGAACGCCAGTTATCGGGTCTGGGTGGTTTTTCCTCCCTTGACCCAGCCCCGCCTTGGGATCGACCTTCGCATGCTCGGCCTCCTCCCCCTCATCCCCCCTCCTCTGCCCTCCGCGCTTCGGCCAAGCTTCCACTCCGCTGGCTGCTGCCATCTCTTCCTCCTCCTCCGCCTCCTCGTCCATTCTTCCCCCCTCCTTCCTCATCCATCTTGTACCCTCTCCTCCTCTCGTCTGCTATCTCACTCCTCATCCTGCTCATATTCTGTCTGCCCCCGTGGCAAGCGCGCAACCCAAGCCTGGAACAATCTGGTCGCTCTTGATTGGGCTCATCTTCCCGTCCCTAACAATGTTAGCTTCTGGCGCCTTTCCCCGCGCCGGGGCCAGGAGGAAGAACATGATAACGGAAGATGATGGCGGGGATGCGAGATCAGACAACGGGAGGGGGAGGCGGGGGCTGGCGCGGAGCCAGAGAAGGAGAATGCATGGCCGGGTCCGGAATCCCTAGGCCCAAACATGCTGCCATCTCTTGGGGGCGCAACCCAGAAGTGTTGCCATCTCCTGGGGGCATACTTAGAATAAGAAAAAGCGCCGTAAACATAAACATAAGCTAATAATTATTAGTAACGATTAAACAAATGATTAGGGACTTAATTCGAATAATAATTATTATGAGGAAAAGCGCCACAAACATAAACTTTTGGCGTGGCTCCGCGCCGGGCCCCCCTCCCTGGCGCGCGGAGCGCGCCAGGGGCGGCGCTGGGGGCGCCTCCAGCGGGGCCCCAAAACGCGGATCCCAAAAATCCGCGCGGAGCGCCAAAAGTTTATGTTTACGGCGCTTGTTTCTGCTTCTTCTTTCTCTTCTTCGCCTTCTTCTTTCTTCTTCTTCTTCTTCTTCTTCTTCTTCCTCGAGCAAGTTCTACGTCCGCCGGCTTCCGCTGGCGGAAGCGGACTCGTGTTACCTCTGCGGGCTTCCGCCGCCCTTCCGCCGCCTTCCGCCGAGGAAGAGACGACGACTGCTTCGAACCTGGAAGGCGGGCGAGGCCCCCTTGTTTTAGAAAGCCTCGCATAAGGGGGACGAGGGGATGCGGGATGGACGGGAAGGAAGAAGGAATGAGGGACGGGAGTGGACCATCGAGGAGAGGTGGTGAAAAGGGCGACAAATTGGGGGAAGTAAGGAAGGAGGATGAAGACAGGGCGGTGGACTTGGGTGTGGAAGACGGAAGTGGGAAGCCGATGCGGGAAGAGGGTGAGGGATGGAACAGAGAGGATTCAGGAGGGAAGGAGGAGTGAAGGATGCGGAATGAGGATAAGGCGGGGTGGAGGGAGGAGGACGGGACAAGAGCAACAAGCGAGGAGCAGGAGAACAGGGATGGTATATCATTCATGGGGATACAGCGGCGGAGGAGGAGGAGGAGGAGGGGGAGGAGAAGGAGCAAGAGGAAGAGGAGGAGGAGGAGGAGGAGGAGGAGGAGGAGGAGGAGGAGGAGGAGCAAGAGGAGGAGGAGGCGGAGAAATATGATAGCCCCCCGCAATTGCGGATAAGAGTGAGGGGGCGGGGGTCGCCGGCGGATCACGAGGTTCGAGCGAAAATTTTAAGAGGCCCGCCGCAGGCGCCGATTCTCTTGAGAAATACGTAGCGAGCCAGCCGCAGGCACATCTTGATGATACAAAAAAATAATGTCGGTGGGTCGCGGGTGGGTCGCGGGTGGGTCGTGGGTGGGTCGCGGGCGGGTCGCGGGTGGGTCGCGGGGTGGGTCGCGGGGAGGACGACGACAACAACAGCAGCAACAACAACAACAGCAATCATAATCTTCACCGCGGATCCCCACTTCAGCCACGCACCCATGGACAATGTACGACCGTTCGGCCCCTCACTCTGACGTGGTGTGGGTCGCGGGTGAGTTGCAGGTAGGTCGCGTGTGGGTCGCGGATGGGTCGCGGGGTGGGTCGCGAGGGGGTCGGCGGGTGGGTCGCGCGGTGGTAGCACTCCCCTAAACCAATGCAATGAAGCCCAGCGCAGGCGCCGATTCTTTTTTGGCTGTTATAGAATCAACATGGTGTGAGTCGCGGGGTTGGTCGCGGGTGGGTCACGGGGTGGGCCGCGGGTGGGTTGCGGGGTGGGTCGCGGGCGCGGGGTGGATCGCGAGTGGGTCGGCGGGTGGGTCGCGCGGTGGTAGCACTCCCCTAAACCAATGCAATGAAGCCCAGCGCAGGCGCCGATTCTTTTTTGGCTGTTATAGAACCAACAACGTGGTGTGGGTCGCGGGGTGGGTCGCGGGTGGGTCGCGTGTGGGTCGCGGATGGGTCGCGGGGTGGGTCGCGGGGTGGGTCGCGCGGTGGTAGCACTCCCCTAAGCCAATGCAATGAAGCCCGGCGCAGGCGCCGATTCTTTTTTGGCTGTTATAGAATCAACATGGTGTGAGTCGCGGGGTGGGTCGCGGGCGCGGGGTGGATCGCAAGTGGGTCGGCGGCTGGGTCGCGCGGTGGTGGTACTCCCCTAAACCAATGCAATGAAGCCCTTCGCAGGCGCCGATTTTTTCTGTTATACAACCAACATGGTGTGGGTCGCGGGGTGGGTCGCGGGTGGGGTCGCGGGTAGGTCGCGGGTGGGTCGCGTGGTAGGTCGCGGGCGGGTCGCGGGTGTGTCGCGGGTGGGTCGCGGTGGGGACGACGCAACAAAACAACGAGCAACATCCTCGCCGTGGATCCCACTTCCGCCACGCACCCAGGGACAGTGCATGACCGTCCGGTCCCTCGCCCTGGCAACCTAATGAGCAGAGCGAAGATGGGGCAGAGCGCGGAGGGCACGACTACGGGACGGGAAACCACAGCCACTGCTTTTCTTTTGATGCCGCCTTCCAGCCAGCAGAAACAAAGCAGTGGGTGTGGTCATTTTCGTTAAGCTTGGCACCAAGGAAATTACCACAGCCACTGCTTCTTTTTCGGCCGGCTGGAAGGCGGCGCAAACAAGAAGCAGTGGCTGTGGTCATTTGCCCGTCCCGCAACGACGGCAGCGAAGAGGAGGGAGATGGGACGAGGGGGAAGGAAGGATACGGCCGGGAACTTTTGGGTATAGCGCATCGCGGCGGCGGCCCAGAGAGAGACTCGGGACGTGGATGTCCGGGGACCGCGAAGTGGCTGGCGTGTCGCGCCGAGGCGTGGGTGGGCCAGAGCCAGCGCGCGCGCCGCGCCGAGCCAGGGCTGCTGACCGCAGTGGGGGAGGAGGAGGAGGGGGAGGAGGAGGAAGGAGGAGGAGGAGGAGGAGGAGGAGGAGGAGGAGGAGGAGGAGGAGGAGGAGGAGGAGGAGGCGGAGGAGGAGGAGGAGGCAGGAGGAGGAGGAGGAGGAGAGGAGGAGGAGGAGGAGGAGGAGGAGGAGGAGGAGGAGGAGGAGGAGGAGGAGGAGGAGGAGGAGGAGGAGGAGAGAGGGGGCCGGCCGTCATCTTCGACAGCTTCTCCAGGGCGTCGTTCGCGGAGTTCTCGGTGAAGGCGGCGATGCCGGCGTTCAGGATGACGATGATGAAGATGGCGATGCCTGCCCTCCGCGCGGCCCCCCAGCGAGGCGCCGCGCCGCCGCCTCCGCCGCCTCCGCCGCCTCCACCGCCGCCCCCTCGGAGGCGAGGCCACGGGGGGAGTGAGGAGGAGGAGGCCGTCTCTCTGGCCATCGCTCGGGCGTCGATTCCCCGTGTTTTTTCGGTCTCGTGCGTGGGTTTTTTCGCGGGATGGTCAAGGATGCTCCGTAATACTCCCCGCCGAGAAACAGTGCACACGTCCGAGCGGTACCAAGCTCTCGGGCGGGTGGCGGAATGGGGCGGGTGACCGAAGTGGGGGGGGTTGAAGAACAGGGCCAGAACCGGGGGACTTTCGGGCCCCTCTGGGGCCCCCTGCTGGCCCCACAAGGGGGCCCTGACGTGCTCCTCTCGGGCCCTCTTCGCCACCCCCCCTATTCAGGTCACGCCCCCTTGCCACCCGCCCGATTCTCAGATCAGCTCGGAAGCCCCTCCGAGAAGCTTTCTGCGCCTCCCCCGAAAGCACAAGAACTGCTCAGAGGGCGCGAGGGCCTCCGAGACGCCCCGCCGCCCTCCGAGAGGGCCCTCTCCCTCTCACTTCCCCCCTTTCGCTCGCTGCCGATCCCTGCCCGCTGCCCCGCCCTCCAGACCTCCCCGCTTCCCCCACGTGGTCGCTCTACCCCTTCCCCTGGTCCTCCTTCTGCCGCATCCCCACTCCTCCTCGCCCTCGTTCCCCTCCCGGTCCTCGCTCTCGTCCTCACTGTCGAGTCCTCATTCTCGTCCTCCTTGTCGTCCTCGGCCTCCTCCTCTGCACTTGGTCTTCTTCTTTCTCCTTATTCTCATCCTTATCCTCTTCCCACCTCGTCCCCTTCTCCTCGCTCCCCAAAGTGTTTTCAAGCTCCTCAAGCTCCCCCTCCTCCGCAGCCTCCGCATCCCCTATCCCTCTCCTCCTGCTTCTCGTTTGCCCTTCATCCCGCTCCCAATCCTCCACCGCCACCGCCTCCCCCACCCGCACCTCTTCCCCGCCTCTTCCTCGCCCGCCTCCTCGTCCTCCTTCGCATCCTCATTCTACTCCCCTTCCTCCTCCTTGTTCTTCTCCTCCTCCTCCTCCTCCTCCTCCTCCTCTTCTTGCTTTCCTTCCAGCCTCCCTCCCTCCCTCCCATCCTCTCTCCTCCCAGTCCTCCTCCTCCTCCTCCTCCTCCTCCTCCCATTCTATTCCTCCTCATCCTTGTCCTCCGCCTCCCCTCGGGACTCATCCCGCTCTGGACTCCCGCGGTGCAGACGCGGGAGCCTGGCCCACCGGCATGCGCTGGCCGTTCACTCGTCGGCATCATTTGCGCGGCGATCAGAAACGGGTCTTACGTTAGCTTGGGCCTGTCCTCCTGCAGGTGGATTTCCGAAGACACATGAAACACAGCCAACACATATTCAAACATAGCCAAACTTAGTAGGAAGATCGTCCCCAGACGATTTTTTGATTTTTGACTATTCTTGAACTGTCCTCCTGCAGAGGGACATGCCCCACTGAAGTCTTGCGCGAGAGGACACAGCGACCTTGCGCCGCGGCTCACGCGGGCCGACGCCGCGGCACGCTGCATCGGAGACGAGGGCGCTCGCGCGCGACCTTGCGCGGGCAGCTTGCGCGCCAGTGTCGGCGCAGACGGCACTGCTTTCTCTTGGCACGAGGGGATAACGATCATGGTGGAAGCTCGTGGGGAGACGCAAGGGCAGGATGGCAAAGGGTAGGGCAGATCATCAGCTCACGCAGCTGGCTTTTCCTGGCGCCTCCTGGCGCCAGGAGGCGCCCATGCATCGAGGAATGAACCTGGTCCTCCTCCTCCTCCTCCTCCTCCTCCTCCTCCTCCTCCTCCTCCCTTTACAGATCCCACCCTTTCGCCCGGTCCGAGAAACGGGCCTTGGACCCAGGGGCTTCCCCCGAGACCAGCGGTTCGTCCCGAGTAGCTTCATGCCGGGGCCCGGGGAGCCCGAACACGGGGAATCGGCGGTGGACAAACCTCCCTTGAGTGAACCACCCTTCAGTGAAAACAGCCTAGGACCGAGACTGACGGACCTGGACCCGCAAAAATGACGGCCGCGAGGCCCTCTCGCGAACCGAGAACGGCCGATTCGCTAATCGACGTGTCAGGGTGGGAGGTCTATCAACCTCCGAGGGAGCCCATCCAGGGTCCTCTTCATTCAAGCTTCGCCCGCCTCATGCGCAGGTTTCCGACGTCGTGGCTCTCTCGAGCACCCGGAACCCCGTCGGGGCTTCGTAAAAATGAGGGTTTGGCTAAACGGGGGCTTAGGCTTTTCCATCTGTCCCCGTCTACTCTGCCCCCGTCTATGGCGCCCAGGGCCCCCTAAACGGGGGCATAGCCAAACGAGGAAATCGGCGTTCCCCGTGCCCCCGTTTGCTGTGCCCCCGTCTTTGGCACCCTGACCCCGCGAGTCTCGGAACTTTCCAGGGAACTGCCGCTTCGTCCCGTCGTGTTTTGACGGTCCCTGGGCCTGGTGAGGGCCTCTGGAAGCCGAATATTGCAATCTTGTTTCGCGTCACGACTCGACTCGACGGGCTCTGGGTCGCTTTTCAAGCTTCGAGCCCTGGACCTGTCCTGGGGTGCGTTTGGACTAGAATGTCGGGGCGGACCCACCCGTGGCGACGAGAAGCCTCCTGGAGGCGCAAACGAGTGGAGAAAGGCCCAGAAACTTGGATCCTCGAGCCTCCATCCTCGGTCTTCGGGGTCTGTTGGCGGCGCGCACAAGGGGGTAGGGGGAAGGGGGACGGCTTCTCTGAAAGAGGCTGCTTCGTAGAAGGCGATGGCCCTATACCTATAAACAAGGCCCGCGCCTTCCAAGTTCTGAGAGGCAGGGGTGCTTCTGAGAAGCCTACCCCACTCCCCATACCCTTCTCTGCGCGTGACTGACTTTGGTTCGCGGCATTCGGGGGGCCGCGGGAAGGCCATATCCATGTGCGCCAGCCTGTGCCATGGGTACCCCTAGAGGTCACTCCGGCGAGCGGTCACTCTTACGTGTAGCCGAGGCCTCGCGCCCAGCCCTCGCCTGGGTCGGCCGCAGATGCACCGCCAGCATCGATTCTCGAGCCTCGAGCCTCCATCCTCCAAGCGTCGATCCTTGATCATCGAGCCTCGAGGCCCCCTCCTCCTCCTCCTCCTCTTCCTCCTCCTCCTCCTTCTCTTCATTCTCTTGCTCCTCCTCCTCCTCCTCCTTCTCTTCATTCTCTTGCTCCTCCTCCTCCTCCTCCTCCTCTTCCTCCTCCTCCTCCTCCTCCTCCTCCCCCTCCCCCTCTCCCTCCCGAGTTCCCTCCTCCTCCTCCTCCTCCTCCTCCTCCTCCTCCTCCATCCTCGATCCTCGAGCTTCGAGCCTCGAGCCTCGAGCCTCGAACCTCGAACCTCCGTCCTCCATCTTCGGGGTCTGTCTGGGCGCTCGTTCGCCTTCGCCGGCGGCCACTGGCAGCACGCCGCCGGCCTCCAGAGGCGCGCCGCGGCGGGGGCGGCGGCAATGCGGGGCGCCCCCTCCCGCCTTCGATGTAGGAGAGCGGGTCGTCGTTCTTGTCGCTGGTCCTGCGCCCGCCCCCTTTGAGGAGGGGGACGAAGAGGAGGGCGAGGAGGAGGGGGAGGAGGAGGATTGACACGGCTGTCCTTTAAGGCACGGGTAATGTTTTACCGCTTCGTGCCCTAACAATGGTGGCACGCCATGTTCTGGATGCAACACTTGTGAAGATGCGGCTACTACCACGCCTATGCTGTGCAACACTCGCGCCAATGCCCTCCACTGCACGGCCTGTGGCAGGAGCAGGAGGAGGAGGAGGAGAAGGAGGAGGAGGAGGAGGAGGAGGAGGAAGAGGAGGGAGGAGAGGAGAAGGAGCGGGAGGAGGAAGAAGGAGGAAGGAGGAGGAGGAGGAGGAGGAGGAGGAGGAGGAGGAGGAGGATGAGGAGGAGGAGGAGGAGGAGGAGGAGGAGGAGGAGGAGGAGGAGGAGGAGGAGGACGAGGAGGAGGAGGAGGAGGAAGCGGATGAGGAGGAGAGAACTCGGGAGGGGCCGTTCTTTGGCCTCTCCGCGATGCGCTCGCGGAGGAGGAGCAGCAGGGGGAGGAGGAGCGAACGTAGCTTTGCGGCCACGTCTTCATCTCAAAGGCCGCTGCGGCCGCCGCGGGCACCTCGCTCAGAGCTGGTCGGGGCGTGCTGCGCCTCCCGCATCTCGTAGTTCGTCTCGAAATTCGTGATGTGGGCTCCATGGAGCTGGCGCGCATGGCGAGCCGTTGCGTACCTGTTCACCATCATCTGGTACGGCACGTTGCGGTCTGCCGTATTGTCCTTCACCATGTGGTTCACCCTGCAAGCAACCGCCATGCGCGCCACCGAGCTCTGGATGCCGTTCTCGCCCATCATGTCTTGGCTGGTGCCCAATCCGGGGCGGTCCAATAAGTTGGTGGAGAGCATCTCGCGCGGCTTCGCCATGTGGTGGAGCATCCGTGGGCAGACCAGGTAGTGGGCCATCTCGTCCCTAGCGTTGCAGCCGTAGCGGCAGTCCCTCCTCTTGTTCTGCCGTGCGTGCACCCTGTGCGACGCAGTCCACGCTCCAGCCCGTGTCTTCGGTGATGCCCGCAGCCGTGCTGGCGGGAGAGTGGCCAGATGCGAGCGCAGCCTCAGCCAGCGGGCTCGCAAGTCGTCGGGGATCTGCGCGACGCCGAGGAGGTCGGGCTCGTTCTCGACGTTCGAGTCGTTCGAGGGCCCATCGGGGAAGTCGCCTGAGACCTCCAGAGGGAGCTTGCCAGGGCCGGTCCATCAGCGACGGGAACGGTGTTCCGCGGCAAGTGGCTCCCGATGAGCAGCTTGTGCGCGGATGTCAGAATGTCGAGGGCCTGCGTTGCCAAGAATACGAAGCTCGAGAAAGCGCCGTCCGACGGCTCCGTCCCTCCAGGCCTGCCTGCGCATGTCGTGTGCGAGTTGTCGGCGTTGCTCGGGCGAGGCGTATAGTGGGCGTAGCTCCTCTCGTTGGAGCACGACCTCAAAGTGCGTCTCGCATCACTGCATCCAGCCCCCCTCGCTGTCAAAGCTGCTCGTGTTGATGAGGAGGTCAGGGAGCCAGCGGGCTGCGAATTCGGCAGCGCGTCATTGAAGACGGTGTTGTATATCCCTAGAATGCGCTCGTGCGTGATCACGCTGGCGGCGGGTGAGTTGGTGGCCAAGAAGCGCAGGATACCATGGGGCAAATCTGCCCTTGATCGTGGCGTGCATGGTGTCCTCGTAGAGCTTCTCGTGCAGGGCGAGCAGGTCGGCCTTCTGCGGCGTGCGCTTCTTCGTGTGCATGTTGCGGTCGGCGTTCAGTGGCGAAGCAGCGGCCATTGCCGCCATTTCCTGTCTCGCAGCGTACTGATGTGCAGCTTGGAGCTTGCCGCGCACGCAAGCGATGGAGTTGACGGCGCGCGCGGTCTTCTTGAATGTGGATCCCTTGCCCTCGGCGGAGAATGTTGAGCTCAGGGTGTCATGGGGCAGTTGCGCAATGAATGCGGGGTCTTTCCAGCAATCAGGGCACCAACGCCCTGTCACGGCGTAACGCATCGGAAGTTCTTCATGAGCTGTGTCGCAGAGCCTGGTGTAGCGGCCTGTCCAGTTGGTAATCGTGATGCGAGCGGCGCGCCGCATGGTGGCTGCTGGCAACGTCTCGACGCCGCGAGGGGATTCCGCGTTGGTCCAGAAGGCCGTGGCCTGGATGTCGGACTTGGCGAAGCTGCTGGGCGCCGCTCGTAGTGATTGGTGGATCGCTTGTAGCTCCACGGCAAGCTCGGGGCTGGGAGGCTCGAACCGTTGGCCGAAGTAGGTGAGGCGCGTGATGGCTGCCACGCTGCAGAGTTTGAGGCACATCTAGGGGGCAACCAAACCTACCTCGCTTTTGACCACCCTCGCTTCCAAGAGATACCAAGCGATGCCAAACTACGGCCTGTACTGGTCAGGCCGCTTGACGAGGAGGCGCGTGGTATGACTTGGTTTTGCCTGGAAGCGAAAGCGGGGTAGGTAATTCACGCTCTGAACATCTGTAGAGGAGCGTGGGCGACAGCCAGCTTCTCCACTCCGTCCCGCCACTTCGACGGCGCCCCTCTCCACTGGTCTTGGAGGGCTGCGCCAGTCTTCCTCCTCGTCCTCCTCCTGCTTCTCCTGCTCCTCCTCCTCCTCCTCCTCCTCCTCCGCATTCCCCTTCCCCTTCCCCTTCCCCTCCCCCTCCCCCTCCTCCTCCTCCTCCTCCTCCTCCTCCTCCTTCTCCTCATCCTCCTCCTGCTTTTCCTCCTGATTGGGACCCTGGTGGATCATTCTGCCCTGGGAAATCACTCACAGAAGTGCGGTCGAGAAAACCAACTCTTTTTACTGCCCGACGGCGCTGGAGTCCCGGTTGGTCCTCGCTCCCGATCCTCGTCCTCATCCCCGTCCATTGGCTACGACCGCATCTCAAGAAGACCAGGGCAAACGTAAATGTCTGCAGACGAGCGCGTGGCGCACTTATCGGAAGGTTGTGACAGACGAAGTGGGCAAGATCACACTGCCCCATCTGGGCACCATCAGCAGAGGCTTAGAGGACCAAGGGATGCGTTGGCAAACCAATCGCGATGCTGTGTCCGCCGGCTGCTGGCGAGAAGAGAAGCCAAGTACATGACGCTGACGAAGAAGATCAGGGCGAAGTCAGTGCCTGGCCTGAGCATTCCATCTCTGGAAAACAACCAGCGCGTCTGGAAGGGGTGGGGAGAGGAGGACGGGATGGAGGCGGACCCGTTGGAGGAGGGGGTGAAGGAATGAGCAAGAGGCGAAGCCGGATCACCTGCGTCGTCTGCCTGCTCTCGAGCACGACGGATATGTTAATAACCTCTCCTTATCTCCTTGGTGTGCATAGCGGCCTGCTCCCCCAAGAGGGCTGCGATCAACCTGATCATTCCTCCGAGATCCCCAGAGCTCGTAGATTCGTGACAATCCAGGTGATGCGAGTCATGGTCGAGAGTCACATCGCTCAGCCTGGTGCACGCTCCGAACCAAGCTCACTCAAAGCATGCCCATGTGGATCTAGGCCCCGCATCATGCGGGACGTCTCGCTAGCAATATGCACCGCCAGAGTCCGCTGCCCTCACCCATTACACTAGAACCATCGCGCGCGTCGCGAGTGCGCCCAATCTATACAGCCTGGCGTATAGCTCTGACGCGGGAACGTGCCCGAATACCGATCTATATGTTAGCCAGCGTGGACCGCAAACAGTGTGCCTCTAGATTTCTAGGTGGAGCAATCAATCTATGTGGTGCCACGATGTGCAATAGAAGACAGAAGTGGTGCAACCCACGTGGTGCAACATATGTTGTGCAATATAGGTGGGGCAATCAATGTCGTGTAATGTGTGTGGAGCAAGTGATGTGGAGCAACCAATGTGGTGCAGTTTATGTTGTAGAATCGATGCTGTGCAACCTATGTGGGGAATTTGAGTTGTGTAACCTATGCGGGGCTTTGTATGTTGTGCAATCTATGTGGTACCGTACGTGTGTGTGTGCGCAATACATTGTGTGGCATCTTTGTTGTACAGTCTATGTTGTGCGACCTGAGTTGTACCATTGCTGTTCTGTACAGCACCTGTCGTGCTATCTATGTTGTGCAGTGTAGGTGGAGCAAATTATATTGTGCAATCTATGTGGATCAAATTGTGTGGCGGCGACAGGCCCAGGCGGCGACGAGGCTGCGACGGAGCGGCGACGGCGCCAACATAGCCGCCAAACTGGCAGGCAGGCCTAGCCGACGGGCGGCGACGAGGCGCGACGACGGCAGCATAGCCGCCCGACCGGCATACAGGCCCAGTTCCTTAGAGCAGAAGTCAGAACCCATACGTGCAAACACTGTTTGGGGAACATGCATATATATATATAGAAACATGTACACACGAGAACTGCGACCTTCGAAACCGATGTGTTTATTGCTGAAGGCGCGATTTGGTGTTCGACTTAGCGTTCAGGATGCACAACGAAAAACTAATACTTCTGCATCCGCATGAGCATCTGTCCTTCGCTGTTGTCCCCCACCCGCCTCCGCGCTCTCCACCAACCAAGGGTGGCGGATGGGTCCCGGTGGGCGAGTACGGTGGTAGGGTGGAAACGGTGGCATGGCTGCTCGAGCCGCAACGGCTTGAGCCCACATGGCTACGGACGAGGAGGTGGAGGAGGTGGAGGGAGAGGTGGATGACGACGTAGACGGGAACGAATGCACGGAAGGACGAGGACGGGGACGACGGAAAAGTGTAATGATAGAGTGGGGTCAGGGCATCAGGACCAGGACGACGACGGCCCCGATGAGGAGAGACAAGTGGGGCGGAGGAGGAGGAGGTGGAGCAGCAAACGCCAGGACCCCACGAGCACTGGTGACTGAGCGGAACGGAGGTGGCTGACTACGCCCTCCACGCGCAACTTCGCTGCCACACGCAAGTAAGGACTCAAGACGAGCTTGTTGAACATAAACTTTTGTAGATCCGCGTGAATCTCTTCGGTCGGCACTGGGCCGCTGGCTCCCGGCGCAAGAAGCACACCAGGGGCTGCGCCGGAGTCGCCGCCAAAGGGGGTCCAGCGCCGACCCAGGGAACACGAGCGGACCTCCGAATGTTTGCTTATGCTTACGTATGCAGCTCCCTCCCCTCCCGTTCACGACGAGCGAGGCGCAGGCCGCAATAATGAGCAGCGTGATGATGAGGTTCGTGAGCTGCACGATGAACAACATCTGTGCCCGTGCGGCATTGCTGCTGCCGCCTCTGCTGACGCCGCTCGTGCGGCGCATCTGCGATTCCATCTGCACTGGCTCCGACAAACCATCTGAGAACAGAGAACATCATTCTCGCCTGGCGCCCATCTCCTCACTTCTTCGTCTTCCCCCTTCTCCTCGTCCAGCTGCTGCTCCTCCTCCTCCTCCTCCTCCTCCTCCTCCTCCTCCTCCTCCGCAACCAATTCTCACCCAGGCCGGCCGCCCCCGCCGCGGCCCGCCCGGATGCATCCGCCAGCAAACTCGGAAGTGGCACTGCTGGCGGGAGCCGAGGACCATGGAAAGACATTTCCTCCGTTCGCGCTGCTGGCGGGCCGATGCGCTGGCTGCGAAGAGGTGGCATCGCCTGAGCGACGTACGCGTCCAAGATGGGCGAAGCGGCAAGTGAGCTGCCGGCTTCGACGAGGCGTGGCGTCCCCGTGCGGCGGCAGAACGTCGGGGACGTGTATTACCTGCACGGGATGGTGGGGCCCGACATCAGTTTTGGCTGGGCAGGCGGCAGTGTGCATCGCTAGCGGGCAAGGTGCACCGCGTGAAGGGGCGCAGAAACCTGGAGCTGTGGGCCGAGCCTGGCCTAAGGCCCAGAGGGCAAGCACGGCAGGCGAGGGGCAGCTGGCTTACAAGCTCCACTACGGTTTTGCTGAATTTGTTTTGCTGCAATTCTCAGACGTTTGTGCTGCGGCATTCTGATCCTTTTAGTCTTGCTTCCTCGTATACTGACAGGTGGAATAATATTAGGTTTCACAATGAACTTCCCGTTTGGTGTAACTACCTATCCCCGCCAATTGTGCCATACGACATTTTTTTTTGTTATTTGTTGTTTAAAAAATCTTGCTTTGTGGCAATCACATGCGTCGCTGTTGGTGGGACCTCAATATTCGTGTGTATTGCACAACGCTGTAACACATCCATTTCGTAAACAATGCGCTTCCTTTTCTTCGTTCAGCTGTTGTGGACAACCCGTGTTGATGTCTCTTGAGGCGTCTGCTCGGAAATTCATGGCACCACTGTCGCGAGTGCCAGAGGAATCGACACACCACAGGAGCTCTCAGGTAATAGATGTGTTGCATATGAGCGGGCAGGCGTCCTGTGTTCTTTCCATCGCAGGGGAGTCTTAAGCAACGTGATCCCAGCACAATATTCCTCCTCCGATTCACCGTCCCAATCGTCGCCATATCCCGTTCCCGTCGCCTCCCTTTCACACCCCGTTCTGGAAGGCTTCTGCCCTGTCTCTCAACTCGTCTACCGCTTCTCCTCCCATCTCCGCGTCTCCTGTTGCTGCTGCTGATTCGGCTGCCCTTCCTTGCGCTCTTCCTTCTGCTGCTCCTCGTTCTGCTGTTCTTCTCGCGCCCTCCTCTCCAGGGCCCAGGAGAAGAAGTGGGAGCCTCGCGCCCCACGCCCCCGTGGAGCAGGAGGAGGGGCGGGGGGAGGTGGGAGGGGGGGGGGGATGGACGGAGGAGGGGGGGGAGGAGGGACGGAGAGAGGAGAAGGAGGAAGAGGAAGAGGACGACCCCCCGTCCAGCAGGGTCGGCTTCGGGGTCGACTTCAGCTTGTTCAGTCCGAACTCCTGAGGCGGGCGGGGCCGCTGCTCCGAAGCTGAACAAGGAGCGCGGAGAACCACGAGACGGGCGGAGGGTGCTGTGAGACTGGGGGCGCGGGGACCATATCATCCGCCACCGTGCCTCTGGGCACGGAGTGGGCGTGCCCTCAGGTCCTCTTCTCAATCCTCCAAGCCTCAGCTCTCACTCCTGAGGAGTCTTTCAGGGACCCAGGCCCCGAGTTGCCAAATCTCTTGGAAGAGGGCCTCAAGAGACCTCCGAGATGGTCCAAGAGTGCTCCGAATCGCCAGAAGATCGCTCCAAGACGCCCAAGACGGCTCCAGGACGGTCCACGAGGCCTCCCAGACAGCCCCAGAGGCCTCCAAGAGGCCCCCCAAGCGGGCCCCGAGGCAAACACATTAATTTTCCAAGGTTTTTTTGTTGATTTTGGCGTTTTCGCCTTTTCGGTTTCCCGACCCTCCAAGACGGCCCACGAGGCCCCCAAGATCGCCCCAGGAAAGGCCCAAAGGTCCCCAAGAGGGCCCCAAGACGGCCCCAGAGAGCCCCAAGACGAGCCCAAGAGGCGCCCAAGACAGCCCAAGAGGGCCTAAAAACGGCCCCGAGAGGGGGCCCAGATGGGGAACCCGAGCGGGCATTTCGAACCCCTGGCCCCGAGGGGACCCCAGGAGGCCCCAAAAGGCCCCCAAGAGGCCCCCAAGAGGCTCCCAAGAGGCTCCCAAGAGGCCCTGAGAGGCCCCCTAGAGGGCCCAAGAGGCCCCCGAAAGGCTCTCAACAGGCCCTCGAACTGCTCCCAAGAGGTCCCCGAGAGCACTCCGAAGAGACCCGAGAAAACATCCCTGAGAACTCTGACCCACAATCCAAGGACGGTGGCGGGATGGGCCGAAGGCCATTTGATCCGCCGCCTCCCTGTTGGCTTGCCACAGGGGGGCCCGGCGTGCTAGATCCTTTCGATCTTGGTTTTGTTCTTTTCCAAAAAGACCCCCCCTGGGGCTTCGGCCGATCCCGCCAGGGTCCCGGAAACCACCTCAACGACCGCAAACAATTCCCCAAGACGGCTCAAGATGGCCTCTAAGATGGTCACGTTGGCTCAAGATGGCCTCCAAGATGGCCCAAGATGGCCTCCAAGTCGCCAAAGATGTTCCAAGATGGCTTCCAAGACGGCCCGAGAGTCCAAGATGCCTTCAAGTTCGTCCAAGAAGCCTCCAAGACGGTCCAAGATGGCTCCAAGATGGCCTAAGACTGGCCAAGAGGCCCCCCAGAGGCCTCCAAGACGTCCTCCAGGAAGGCCCGAAAGGGCGGCAACACAAATTACTTTCCTTCGGTTTTTGACAGATTTTGGCATTTTCTTCTTATCAGCTCTCCGACGGCCCAAGACGGCACAAGAGGCCCCCAACATCGTCCCAAGAGCGCCCAAGAGGTCTCCAAGATGGTCCCATGACAGCCCAACAGGCCCCCAAGAGGGCCCCAAGAAGAGCCCAAGACGGCCCAAGATGCCCCCGAAGACGCCGAAGATGGCCTCCAAGACGGCCAAGATGGCCTCCGATGTGCCTCCAAGACGGCCAAGAAGGCCTCCACGACAGCGAAGATGGCCCCAAGATGCACTCAAGACGGCCCCAGATGGCCTCAAGATGGCCTTAGACTGCCCAAAAGGCCCGCAAGAGGCCTCCGAGACGGCCCAAGAGCCTTCCAAGAAGTCCTCCAGGAGGCCCGAAAGCTCGGAAACCACCTGGTCCGATAGCTCGCCCGACTCCGTGTTCCCCGAAGGCGTTCGAAACCCACTCGGAGAACGCTTGGCCCGATAGCTTGGCCAAGCTCTCCAACTGTCGGCCACGCAGGCGCTTCCAAAAGGCAGGGGGCGGCGGTGATTCGCCGTAGGCATCTTCGATAGTAGGCGTTTCTTAACACGGGGCTTCGTCGTTTGACCAAAAGGGTGGGGGAGAGGGGTCTGGATCTGGGCCGGTGCTTAGTCGATTTGCTACTGCCAGTCGCGCAAGCAGACTGGGGGAAGGGGTCCTGACCAGTCGCCAAAGAACCAGCCGCCAAGAGCAGCCAAGATCTGGTCTACGAGGGGGGGAGGGAGGGGTGAGTGCTTGCGCCGATCGGCGAAACAATGCATAACTCAGCGGCGACTATCATAGAAGACCGCGCGTGTTTGCTCGTGCCTTTGCACGCTTACGTTTTCCTACGCGTGGCTGTACGCGTTCAGACGCATTTTTTCAAGGGGTGCCGAAGCACGATAGATGGGCATGAAGGGCGGGATGCATTGGAAGCGCTGAGTGGGGGTACAGGAAGGAGGATGAGGAGACGGGTGAGAGGCATGATGGAAGCAGAGGGAGAGGGACCAGGGAGAGGGTCGGGAGGCATGGGGAGCGGGCGGGCATGAGGAGGGGGGGGGGGACACCGGAGGGAAGGGGGGGAGGATGGGGCTGCTGTAAGCGGTCAGCGGGCTGCTGGGCCTAGTAATTCCCAGTGCCAGCGCTGCAGACTCAAGCTGTCTCCCATCGTCGTCGCCATTGTCGTCATCGGCGTTTGGGATATCATTGTACGAGGTGCTGCGGTACCCCCGCGGCGCATCCCTTATAACGCTAGTTGTGATCCTCTTGCCTACCCCAGCCCACATCCTGGGGAGGGGAAGGCAGATGGAGAAAGGGACAAAAGGAGGTAGTTGGAATTCCCAGAACAGGTTGGATTCGTAAGGGCATTCGGCCAGACCAAGAAGCAACTCATCAGAGATGGCACACGCAACCATACGATTCGAACGCCGGATAGCAGCATGAACTGGGACACTGTTGGTTCGGTAGTGCTCAGAACGACAAGGTGGGTTTGTAAAGGGTAGTTCGGGAGCAAGTGCTGAGCAAACTGCGGGACCCAACATTGCAATGATTTTCACAACGCCGTGCAGAATGGCGTACATCTAGCTGGTATGATGGCAGCGTCGCACCTTGCGCCAAGGCAAGAAGTTCCAACGGCTGAAGAGATTGTCGGCGAATGCGCTGAATCTATGCGTCACCAATTCACGACAGGGGAACGCATACATTCTTATGAAGCGCAAGACATGCAATCATCATACTTATACTTCTCTCGGCCAGTCGGCAAATCTGCAAATGCGGTCTTGACACACTTGTCGCCCCCGAGAAGCTACTGACCTAACCATTATGCACACAGACACACAGACACGCAGACACACACACACATACACAAACGCACGCATGCACGCACGCACGCACGCACGCACCCAAACACACACCCACACAGACACACACACACACACACACGCACACGCGCACGTACACATCCACACTAACACCCACACACGCACACTCACACACACCCACACACCCGCACTCACACACCCACACACACAGACACACACACACACACACACGCAGACACACACACACACCCACACATACCCACACAGACACACACAGACACACACAGAGACACACACACAGGCACACACACACACTCGGACACAAACACATACACACACGGGCACACACACAGACACACACGGACACGAACAGACACACACACACAGGCACACACAGACACATACACAGACACATACACAGGCACACACAGACACACACAGACACACAAACAGACACACAGACACACACAGACACACACAGACACACACACAAACACACACAAACACACACAAACACGCACACGCACACGGACACAGACGACGCACCCCCCCCCAAACACACACACACCTTCCCACACACACACACACACACGCACGCACGCACGCACACACGCAAACACACACACACACAAACAAACACACCACACACAAACGCGCACACACACACACACACACACGCACGCACACAAACACACACACACACACACCAACACAAGCACACACCCACGCACATACACACACGCACCCACACACTCACGCACTCTCTCTCTCTCTTGTACACACACACACGCACGCTCGCTCGCACGCACACACGCACACACGCACACAACACACAACACACAGCACACACACAACACACACCAACACACACAGCACACAACACACACAACACACAAAACACAACACACACACGACACAGAACACACGCAACACACAACACACAGCATACGCAACACACACGACCCACACAACACACGCAACACACACACACACGCACCCACCACACACCACACACACACACACACACCACACCCCACATAACACACGCACAACACAACACACAACACACAACACACAACACAGACAACACACAACAAACACACACACACACGCGCACCCACACGCACAAACACGCACGCACGCACACACGCACGCACACCCACACACACACCACACATAACACACACACACACAAAACAGAACAAACACACACACACACACGCATACACACACACACGCGCGCACATGCACGCACGCACGCACGCCATCTGTTGGGTGTTCCACAAGCTGGACCACCCAAGAAGCGTACTCGCGAGTTGTTCTGCAACGACGTGCAGCACCTGAACGGACACACGCGCTGCACAAATGTATGCGTCGCAATGAAGCACCAACAAAACCACTGCGGCGCTAGAACCAAGCCATAAACGATTGCGTTGCATTCGTTCGAGTCCTAAACGATTGCCCTGCAATCGCTTGTGGCCTGAGAATCCAGACAGAGCAGCGGTTCGAAACTAGTTTAGTCCTTAGAGTGACCAAGCGCCATCGCTGCTTGTGCACTCCTCTCTCCCCTCGTTCCTCCACGGTTACAAGAAAACTGGACTTGGGGTTCGGGTTACAAAGGCCCGGGTGCTATTCCTTCTGGGATGTCCTAACCCATAACGCGCAAAATTAAGCACTCCCGCCGTCCAAATAGTGGATCCCTGGAGATTGCGCTCGAGCTTGCGCTCGCGTCCGTAAATGGTGCCGGTACACGCAGGCTGCGGTCCGCGCGACGATCGATAGCGCGGGAGTGCGGTGAGGAACCTTCGCTTAGCGTGTCGCGGCGACTGCCTCTGCGACACGTTATGCCGTGTAAGATGATATCGTGCCGCTCTGCTTCATGAGACTCGGGGATCTCCTGACCTGGGTCAATCCAGACCCGGGTCAGTCAGGCCTTGCAGAATCCTGCAAGATCCTGCGCCCAAGCCTGGGTCAAGGCGAAGGACCCTGCAAGATCCTGCAGGATCCTGCGCCCAGACCCGGGTCAGTGCGACCCTGGCCCTGCAGGATCCTGCAAGATCGGGCGCTCTGGCTGACCCCCGTTTGCATGGACCCCCGTCTCTTGAGCCCCGGGGAGACTTGGAAAACAAGGTCTTTTCATGCCTGTGGACCGGGGCAAGCCTGGAGTGTCGCGCCGAAAGGCGCGGTGGGCCAGAGAGCTGGCGGCGCGACACGCCAGGCACACGTTCCTGACCGCGCGTTGAGGGCATTGGCTAAGGAAGCAGTGGACAAGGAATCCAGGGCCAGGAAGCCGGAGGAACTCCAATCGTGGGTTGGCCATGATTAGAAGTCGAACAATCCACCCCCATAATAACCACCCCAATCAGTGCAGGGCTGTTTAGAAAACGCCGGGGCCGTTTAGCAAACGCCAGGGGCCGTTTAGTAAACGCCAATTGTCCGTTTTTGGGGTTTTTCCTTCCTTGAATGTATATCGCTGCCGCCCTCATCAGACAAGGAATCCCCCAAGAGTCTGCAGCCTCCTGGGCACGTTCTGGGGCGACCAAGAGGTTACTGCTACTCTTCGGACCTCTCAGGGTGCGTTCTGGCCGGCATTTCGAGGCGAATCCAACGGTGGCGACGAGGGCATCCGAGGAGGTCCCAAGCGAGGAAAACGGGCGGAGGGTAGCGGTATGGCTACCTCTTCCTCTTCACACTCCTTCACCAACGCCCCCACCCCGCCGGGCGGCCGCGCGGCCGCAGGGCGCACCTGTCGACCCCCCCCCTCTCGCGGTGTGGGCTGGGAACTCGTCGGCTCTGCCCCCACCCCCCACACACTTTCTGGGTCCCCCGGCGCCGCAGCGCCCGTTCGTCCCTCGAGCTGGGCGTTGCATCGCCGTGCAGGGCAGACGGATGAGGAGGAGGACGAGGAGGAGGAGGAGGAGGAGGAGGAGGAGGAGGAGGAGGAGGAGGAGGAAGAGCAGGAGGAGGAGGAAGAGGAGGAGGAGGAAGAGGAGGAGGAGGAAGAGGAGGAAGAGGAGGACGAGGAGGAGGAGGAGGAGGACGGAGGGGACGGCGGAGGAGCCGACGCCAGTTCGCCCCTGGATGTCGCAGTGCCAGCGCCTTGGTCTCTGCGGAAGGGGGCGGGGGGAGGGCGAGGCTTCAAAGTTCATAGGCTGGCTGCGTCCCCAAGGGCCCACATCCGCGAAGAGGAAGGGAGAGGAGCTCGTGGCCGAGAGACCGACCGAAGGCCCAAGGAAACAAGCGCATGACGAGGGCACGGTAAGACGAAGGACGAGGAGGAAGAGGAAAGATGATAGAGGGAGGACGGAGGAGGATATGGAGGATGAGGAAGGGTGAGTGATGAGAACAGAGGACAATGAGGATGAAGAGGGAGGATGAGGGATGAAACAAAGAAGTCAGGAGGAGGAGGAGGAGGAGGAGGAAGAGGAGGAGGAAGAGGAGGAGGAGGAGGAGGAGGAGGAGGAGGAGGGGGAGAAGGACGAGGAGGATGAGGCAGGGTGTTCAAGATCCTACAGGCGCCCTGGATAAAACCCTACGGATGCTCTCCACTTTCTCCATCCTCCCGATCATATCCATGCTCTTCCTCTTCGCCCTACTCCTCGGATTTAAGAGAGAGCGTGATCCACCGCCGCTTTACTGTGGAAAATTGCCGCCCTTTTCCTCCGGAACCCGGGGGTCCCACCCCCCCCCCTCCGAAAATCCCCCCCTACCCCCCCCCCCCCTCGAACTCGAAAACCGGGGGGGATCACTACCGGTTCGAACCCCCCCCCCCCCTCGAACTCGAAAACCGGAGGAGGGGGTCACTACCGGTTCGAACCACTGAGCTGTCCCACTGTTCCCACCACTGTCCCCACTGTCCCCAGCACTGTCCCCACTGTACCTCTGTCCCATTGTCCCACCGCCGTCCTCGCCACCGCCTTCACCACTGTCCCCACCACCATTGTACCCTCCACTGTCCCACTGTTTCCACCTCATTCCCACTGTCCCCACACCACTGTCCCCCACCACCACCGTCCCCACCACTGTCCCACTGTCCCCACTGTTCCCACCATTGTCCTCACCATTGTCCCCACCACTACCGTCCCCACCACTGTCCACTGTCCCCACCACTGTTCCCGCTGTCCCTCACATTGTCCCCCACCACCACCGTCCCCACCACTGTCCGCACCCCCCCTCGGTTTTCGAAGGGGGGTTCGAACCGGGTAGTGACCCCCCCCGGTTTTCGAGTTCGATGGGGGGGGGCATGATTCGTAACTGTGGGGGGGTGGGGGGGGGAGGGGTTCGAACCGGTAGTTACGTGACCCCCCCCGGTTTTCCGGAGGGGGGGGGGGGAGGGGTTCGAACCGGTAGTGACCCCCCCCGGTTTTCCGCCAGCAGCGGTAGAACACGCTCTTTCGGATTTAAGGATCTCAGCGATGACGGCTGAGGTCGTTGTTCGCCAATGCGCGAATGGCGTGGAGTCTTGCCCGATAGAATCCAGATCTGCATTATCCGTCCTCTTGCTCCTCCTCCTCCTCCCTCCTCCTCATCCGTCCTCATCCGAACTTCTCCACCTCCTCCTCCTCCTTCTCCTGATCCTCCTCCTCCTCCTCCTCCTCCTCCTCCTCCTCCACGTCCTCCTCCTGGAGGAGACGAGGCCAACGCGAAACACGCTCCTCGAGCCTCTTCACCACAGCGCTTGTGGCCATGCCGTTCTCGAGGTGGGTGCCCAAGGACCTCGCCAACTGATCCTTCGCGGGTCTCTCCTTTCTCCTCCTCCTCCTTCTCCTCCTCCTCCTCCCTCTTCCTCTCTTCCTCCTCTTCCTCCTCCTCCTCCTCCTCCTCCTCCCTCCCTCCTCCTCCTCCTCCTCCTCCCTCCGCCCCCTCGGCTCCATATGGCTCCCCAACTCAGGATACGCTCGTCCCCTCCTCCTCCTCCTCCTCCTCCTCCCTCCTCTTCTCCTCTTCCTCCTCTCCAACCTCCTCTATTCCTCCTCCCCCCTCCATCCCCTTCCTCACGCCTCCCTGCCTCCCTCTCCCTACCTCCCCCCTCCGTCCTCTCCTGGCGTCTCGTCCACCTACCGCCTCCTGGCTCCTCCACAGTACCCCCGTCTCCGCCCCCTGGAAAACCTTGCCCTTACACCGCCAAGCGTAAAGAAAAACATCCTCAGACAATCATCCTACACATCCACGAAATCCTTACAGTCACTGGTTCTCATTTCGCTGCCGCCTCTGTCATCAATACTCATCCGTGGGCAGAATATCACCAGTGTCAAACCCGAATTATCCACCCTCCCACGCCTCATCCGAATACTCCTCCTCATAATCCTAAGCCTAACCTTCCTCCGCAGAATACATCATTTTCCCTCTACTGCACCTCAGGCTCCTCTCTCATCCTTCCCTCCGCCCCTAATCCTCCCTCCACGTCCACATCCTCCTCCTCCTCCTCCTCCTCCCCTCCTCCTCCTCCTCCTCCTCCTCCTCCTCCTCCTCCTCCTCCTCCTCCTCCTCCTCCTCCTCCTCCTCCTCTTCTGTTTCTTCCGTTTCCCTCCTGTCCTCCTGAGAGGCGCGGAGGGAGGCGGAGATGGGAGGGGGAAATGCCGGGTGGAGGAGGTAAGACGAACCTGGGACTGGGACAAGATCTGACAACGAAAAGCGGGGATGTCCGAAACCTGGCGGCTTTTTCAGAACGTTCCTGAGAGCATGCCGGGACGCTCTGGAACGATACATCCGGGTCCCGGGCCCGCCCGAGGAGGGGAAGGCGGGAGGGGGCAGTGGGGCCAAGGATGCCCCCTTCAGACCTGGCGTCGCGGCAAAAACGAGACGGCCCGTTACAGTCGGGCCTGATTGGAGAGGACACGCGAGAGGACACAAGACCCTTGCGAGTGCCACGGAAATGCAGGAGGCATGGGTCGCAAGACGCAGGACACGAAGGCACCCTTGATCTGGCCAGGGTCGACCGCCTCGGAGGACCTCGCTGGCTGTGCGCTGGCGCACAGCAAGCGGTGGATGTCGATCGGAGGAGCGACGTTCGCCGGCGCGGCGCGCGGCTTGCAGCTCGAGCGCCAGACCTGGGGTGCGCCGCGCGCTCGCCGCAGAAGGTGTCTGTGGAGGTGGCTGCGCGGCGGAATCGGCATCGTCGATTCGCGTGGCGGTCAGTGGGCGTCGCAGTCGTGCAGGGCGAGGGGAAAGGCGCGGCGTCGGGCGGGCCAGGCCACCAGGGGTCTGGGGGGCAGGGGTTCACCTGTGGCGAGGCGGCCGTCGTGGCCTCTGGCGGGTCGTTGCTAGGTGACGTGGGGGAAGGGTCACCAGTGTGGTTGAGTCCAGGGTGCTCCTCTGTGCCCCATGGGTCGCAGGCGTGGCTGCGGGGGCGCGACGCGTCTTCGGCGTCTCCGTCCGCCTGCTCGACGGGTGGCAGGCCGGAAAGGGGCGGCTCAGGCAGCGTGGCGGGGTGCTGGCACACGCCAGTCATGGCGGGCGCGTTGGATGTCAGGGCCACGCAGCATGCGTCGGCGGCTGATCTCTCCTCCTCCTCCTCCTCCTCCTCCTCCTCCTCCTCCTCGATCACGGCGGTGCGTGCGCCAGAGGTGCTTAGAGACCCTGCGGGCCGCCTCGCGTCGTGTAGCATGAGGCTGCGCAGGATCGCGGAGGTCGGCGCTGGAGTTGACATGCGAAGGCCTTCCGCGCAACACTTCAGGAAAACGTCACTTGTGGTGTCCAAAACCTGGGTGGCAGTGCGCCAGAAAGGCCTTCTAGCACTCTTTCGAAAGGATCTCTGGGAGCTCAGGGAAGGAGCTTCGGAAGGAACTTCTGGACACCTTCCGGGCACACGTTTAGGGAAACAATGAGAAAAAACCTTGCGGGCCAGACTTCTCGCTCACGCAGCCTGCTGCGAGGTGTTCTGCTGGGAGGTGTGAACTAGCTCCGTGGCTACCCTGCGCTGCGGGCTTCTAACCTCGCAATTTAGCTCAGCTCTACAAGGAGCTACAGTGGGGGCCCGACCACAAGAAACCTTCCACAAGAAACCCAACCCTGAGATCTTGGTGTGGGGACGTCACGCCTTCCATGGCAAACCATCGAAACCCAAGAACACCCAGGGCACCCTGGAGGCAAGCAGGGTGTCTCTTTGCGTGGGTCTCCACTGTACCCTGCGCTGCCGGCTTCGGAGACGGTGATGGCATTGGATAAGAAGCCTTCGATAAGGAATCCAAGGTTTGGAAGCCAGTGGGAAACCAATCGTGGCCCGGCCGTGGATGTCACCGCCGCCCTCATCAGATAAGGGACCCTCCGGGGTCTGGAGCCTCCTGGGCACATTCCTTAACGAACGCCCCCCACAACTTGCCGTCGCTCGGACGTCCATTACCCGTGCATTTTTCGGTTTCGCGCGTGTTTTTTTTTGCTCGGTGGTCCAGGATGGTCCTCGCTGGTTCTCGCCGAGAAAAAATGCACACGTCCGAGCGATGCCAAGAAAAATGCACACGTCCGAGCGATAGACAAAGGAACTGTCCGGGAATGGCCTGGCTGCGGCGCGTCCGGGAGCAACGTGCGGCGCGCAGCCCGCGTGGTGGCTCGCGCCTGGGCGCCCGAAAGCATGGCGAGCACGAGCGGGCGCCCGCGGGCGGGCCTCTGCGGCCGCGTCCCGGCGGCCGCGGTGGGGCAGCCCACGGCGGCACGGCTTGGGCGCGCCCGCGCGCGCGGGGGCGCAGCGTTCCGCGTCCGCAGGGGCAGGCCCAGAGATCCGACCGGTTCTTGGCTGCTCTCGGCCTCTGGGGGCCCTCGCCGGGCCTCGGGAGCGTCAACGAAGCGACTCAGGACGAAAGACCAGCCCTGGGGAAGTGGCCCGGAGCTCTGGGGCCCACGCGCGGACCAACATTGGAGCAGCCGCATGCCCGGGGGGCGTGGGCCTCCGAGCAGGAGACAGGGGGAATGCGGGCGGGCAGATGCCTCCCAGATGGGGTCCGGGCAGCTGGGGTCGGCGGATCGCAGCGCAGGGCCGGCGCATCGCCGATGCATCGGCGATGCGCCGTCGACTTTGGCGAGACATCGCCGCCTTCGGCGTGGAGAGAAGTCGGGCTCCCCACCGAGCGGCTTTGGCGATGCATCGGCGATGCAGCGCGATCCTCGGACCCCATCTGCTCTCAGGTCGGGCATGTCCCCCCACAGGCGGATTCTTGACAAAAGTGAAGCATACCCAAACAACTGCTCAAACATATTCGAAAAGTGATTAAACAAATAGTCCCCAGACTATTGTTTGACTATCTTGGCAGATTCCTCCTGTAGAGGGACACGCCCGACTCAAAAATCTGCTCCGATCCCGACCGGCAGGGCTGGAGTGGGAGACACCTTGCCAGACGCGCTCCAGCGGGCCAGGGGGCGGGCGCGGGGGGCTGTGGCGCGGTCGGAGCCCATCTCCACCGGTCTGCAGCGAGGTGCCGCGACGTGGGCAGGGCCTGCATCCACGCGCGAGGAAGGGCGTTCCGACGCTCGGCGGGCCTTGGAAGCGTCAGGGCCGTCGTTCGACCGGTTCCGTTTTGCCGTTGTTTGCCGGTTCCGACGCCGTTTCTTTACTGGTTTCGTCGCAGTCTTTTTTTGCCGGCTCCGGCTCGGGCTCCCGTCCTGGAGCCGTTTTTGTTGCCGTTTCCGGTCGCCGTTTCTTTACCGCTTCCATTTTCAAGAGACGCTTGCTCGGAGACGGTAAAAAAGCAGCCCTGCCGTTTCCGGGGCCCACTGAGCTTAGGTCGGGCCTGTCCCCCTACGGATGCTGGGCGACAACTAACAAATCGGAACAAAAATACGCCCACAATAAGTCAAACAGCATCGTCCTCCGACTCTTTTTTGCCTACTTTTGAACACTCCGCCGGCAGAGGGACACGCCCGACGTACGACGAAGGCTCCGACGAGGCCGGTGCTCGCCAGCACGAGCGGATGGCGCTGGGCGCGCCGCCGCGCGGAGGGGAGGGCGAGGCGGGAGCGGGCGCGACCACGGGAGGAGGCGGGCGCAGGAGGGGCGGAGGGCGGAGGGGGCGCGAAGGAACGAATTGAATGGGGCCCTGAGATACACACAAACAAATACACACAAATGAAACTATTCCCCAGATTTTCCCGTTTTTCGGGGTGTCTGTCTTCCGCACCACTTCCCATAGTTGCCCATCTTTCCTGGGGAGTCGACGATTCATTGTGTCTGGGTGTGCCTTTTTTTCCTCCCGACGAGTGAGGTATGCCAAGCCGCTGAAGGCGGCAGTACACACCGAAATATCAGGGGAGGGGATCCTCGTCCTCCTCCTCCTCCTCCTCCTCCCTCCAGGCCCCACCGCCGACCCGGTCGGCAGGGGGGCCTGGGCCTCCCGGTGCGGGAGGCTCTCGAGCGTGAGGCGGAAGTGCGCGAGGAGGCGTGAACGAAGGGGGGGGGAGGAGGGGGAAGGGGGAAAGAGGTTTTTAGCCTGCTCCTTCCGCGCGCCAGTGCCAAGGGAAGGAAGGCGCCGAGGGCCATCGTGCTGGCAGCAGCGCGGTAGCAGGCGAGCCCGATCTTCCTTCAGAGACACTGCGCCATGAACGTGCGCATTCAGGATGGATGATCGCTGAGAGTGACGCACGTCAAATCGGCGGCATGAGCAAGATTCGTCTGCAGTCAGGGCAACGAGAGCGCAAGCTGGTGCAGGGGAAGAGGTAGAGGACGGGAATGGGACGGAGGATGAGACATGGGACGCTTCTTCCTCCGCCTCCATCTGCTTCGATGTCGGTCGCTGGACCA